TCTGGGACTCCTGCCAGAAGATACTCTGGGACTCCTGCCAGAAGATACTCTGGGACTCCTGCCAGAAGATACTCTGGGACTAGACCGCATAACCCACTTTACAACAGGTACGACTCTCTGCAACCTATAGACAATGAAGAGGTTGGTGATGGGGATATGAGGTGACACCCCACGAATGCCAATACCCTCACCAACCACATAGGAATAACTTTAACATACAAAGAAATTGTCATACTCCAAAAAGACAGAGGAACCAATTCTTTAAACCCAATACAACACTCCAAGAGGGCAATGGGGAACACCAAGGAATCCCACTCATATTAGGCAGACAAATAAGCCATACTACCATCCTAAACATAGAGAAGATGATTATCCAGAACAATATAATCATAAACCACCAAACAATGCAGATCGCACATCACAACCCCCCCCCCCCCCCCCCCCTTTTTTTTTTTTTTTTTTTTTTTTTTTTTTTTTTTTTCAGGAAAGGGCAAATCGGGGACTCTCTATCAACACCTTTTTAAAAGTGCAGGCATCTGCCCCCAGTAATTTTTCTTCAGGTCCCTCTGCAGCAGTGTGTGTGTGTGTGTGTGTGTGTGTGTGTGTGTGTGTGTGTGTGTGAAAGTCCAGACCAGTAAAAGTCAAGTCTTGTCCTGTTTGGGATCTGTCCCTAGTCCTAAAGGCTTTGGTCCTCTGTCCCTTTTTGAACCTCTGGAAAAATCTTCTATAACATTTTTTTTTTCTTTTCTTTAAAAAACATTTGGTGGCAATCACATCAGCCTGTAGGGTAAGTGAGTTACAGGCACTCTCCATTAGGGAGCCCTATCTGACTGTTTTTGAAGACTGGGGTATGCTCAAAACAGATCCAGGTTTTCTCCCGAAGGTGTCCTTCTTTCATAGGTCTCAGCATATAGTCCTACTGACCTTCTGTTCTCCCAGCAGTAGGGAAGAAAGATTGAATTTGCTTGATGTGAAAAGAAGTCTTATGGTCTACCTTAGTAGATCCCGAGAATTTAGAAATTCTGATTCCCTTTTTGTACTTTTTGCAGGAGCAAGGAAAGGTTCCAGAGCATCCAAATCCACCATAGCTAGATTGATTAGGTTGGCTGTCACAGAATCTTATGAACTACTAGAGATTCCTCCCCCGTTTTTGCTAATGCGTGCACACTCTCAACTAGATCCTTATCAACATCCTGGGCAGAGAGCCGGTGCTTCGCCGGAGGAAATATGCAAGGTGGCCACCTGGTCTAGGTTCTTTTTTTTTTTTTTTTTTTTTTTTTTTTTCTGTGAGGCATTATCGCCTGGATCTCCTATCAAATAAGGAGCAGGTATTTGGGCGCAAGGTCCTCCAGGCAGTGGCCCCGCCCTAAAGGGGTAGGTTCTTGATTAGTCTCAAGGGGCTGTCCTGGAAGATGCTGGGAGAAAAAAGTTAGGCTTACCAGTAACTCTTCTACGAGTCTTCCAGGACAGCTGTGATGTACCCTAAGAATGTACAAGTAATGTATATTTGGTGCTTAAGGGTTTGTCTTTCAGTGTCTTCCGGTAGTTCTCAGGTAAAACCGAGGATGGAGGTCCACCTTTTTAAGGCGTGGGGATTATGAGTTTCCTGACTCAGAGGGAGGGGCTGTCCTGGAAGACTCGCAGAAAAGGAGTTACCGGTAAGCCTAACTCTGGCTTTCCTTTGCTGTTTTAGAGCAGTAGGTGTCCTCGGATGCTTCAGCCGAATCCGTTAAACTAGCTGCGAGAACTTCTGCTCTGGTGAATTCTGCTAGAAGGGCATTATGGTTAAAGACCTGGGTGGGGGACTCTGGGTCCAAGCTGTGCCTTGCCCTTTTACAGGTGATAACCTTTTCGGCCAAGGTCTTAAGGAGGCTCTGAAGTGTATGGCCGACTTAAAAAAAAGGGCATTCGCAGAGAGTAGAAAGATCTTACTTTTTCGTCAAACGCAGGTCCAGCCCAAGAAACATTGGACAGGGCACAAGAACAAGGGTAAGGGGGGGAATCGTATTCATTCCTCGAGGTCCCTGCCAAGTCTCTAACTCAAGCATCCCAGTGGAAGGAAGACTGGTGACCTTTCTCCCTCAGTGAGCTTCAGTCTCCTCAAACTCCAACCTGTACCTTTTTTCCTATAAGTCCAGAATGTATGAGTTTGACTCCAGTCCCCCTGCCAGGTATCTGGTAACCAACCTTCCCAAGGATCGGGAGAAGGCACAGGCTGTGTGGCCTAATTGGAGACCTGGTAGATCAACTGGTCCTTACGTTCCCCGGAACGAGCAGGGGAGGGGAACTCGAGTGTCCATATTTTTTTTTAGTGAAAAAGCCCTCAAGCAAATTTTTTTTCCTTGATCTTGAACCAGTGCCCTCTCAATCAGTCTAAGGTACAAACACTTCAGGATGGAATGTACCTTCTCTGTAAAGAACATCGCTTACCTAGATTGTTTCATGGCTATGCTGGATCTGAGGGATGCATATCTTCACATTCCCATTCAACATGCGTGTCAAAAATACCCAAGAATAGCGGTAAGGATAGGTACAGAGATTTACCACTGGCTGTGTTGGACTTTACCATTTTCAGTCTGGCTTTGGCACCAAGAAGTGCTTGTGGAGGCCTTGGCTCCTCTATGAATGAAGTCTATTAAGATTATTCCTTATCTGGACAATCTCCTCTTCGTGGCCAGGTCTTGCCAACAGTTGACAGTGGATCTGTGGGTTGCTCAGGACTTCCTTAAGAGTCTGGGGTAGCTCATAAACAGACATCATTTTTAGCTCCCTCCCAGAGTTGCCTATCTGGGGTACGAGATTTCCTTGGTAGAGATCTTCCTTCCATGGGAAGAAATTCTCAGGATAGATTTGGTGCTGGCAGAGCAATTTTGCCCATGGCAATAAGGAATATCATGAGGGCAGTGGGTCTCATGACAGTTTCGCAGCTGTCCCCTGGGCAAGATTCCACAATCTGCCACTGTCTTTTTTTTTTTTTTTTTTTTTTTTTTTTTTTTTTTTTTAATATGCCGCCTGTGGACTGAATGGGGAAAAAGTACAGGTGCTGCAGAATTTGTGGGCTGTCAATCGGGTTTTGCAAGCACATCTGGAAGGATACTAGGAGCTCTATGGACCTGTGTGCGAATTCTTGGTGGCTGCGGGACCATACTTGTGCTCGCCACCGCACTGGCTTGTACTGGACTTATGGGACTCGCCACGCCACAAAGTGCTGGTATTATACATGATTTATACAGTGCCAACAGTTTGTTCAGCGCTTTAGAGTATAACGGGAGACAATACAGTTCAATACTAGAGGGTTAGGAGGGCCCTGATCCTGGGAGCTTACAATCTAAGACGGTGCTGCGATACTTTAACTCACAATTGCGCGGTCATGTAACACTGCACCCAAATTAGAAGAAAAAATTTTCCCCACGAATTGAGCTTTCTTTCAGTGGTATTTGATTGTCTGTGCTTTTTAATTTTTTTTTATGCTATAAAGGCTGACAATTGAGGGAAAAACAATATTTTGGACTTTTTGCTATAAATGTCCAGTAAAAACTTAAAAATCAACTTTTGGCCAAAATGTATTCTGCAACGTGTCTTTGCTAAAAAAAAAAAAAAAAAAATTCCATTGCGTGTAAATTGGTTTACGTGACAGTTATAGCGTCTACAAATGGCGGGGAAGATACTGGGATATTTTTTTTTATAATGGCGGCAATCAGTGACTTTTGGCAGGACTGCAGCAGACATTTTGACACTGGGGGGGAACTGACTTTGGGTCACTGACATCACAGTGACATTAAAGTGATTAGTGAAAAAAAAGACACTGTACTAATGGCACTGGGGAGGAAGGGGTTAACATTTTTATTCAAAGGGTTAACTGTGCAAGGGGAGTGTTTTACTAGTGGGCGGTGGTGTGTACTTCACAGGAACACACTGATCCCGAGAGCTAAACTCTGCTCTCAGGATCAGTGTGGGGACCTGACAAAGAGCAGAGCTGCATTGAAAACAATGCAGCTGTGCTGTGTCATGGTTTGCCGGCAATCTCCAGGACCGGGCAGGTAATGACCGGCTGGGATCCGGTGATTAACTCCCGCGGCCTCAATCGGTGGCGTGGGTAGGGCGGACGCGCCCCCTACCTGTTTTGCAAAATCACATTTCAAAATGTGATTTTTTGCGCAGGGGTGCCGCTCTGTGGCCATTTTTGTACAATGGCTGGTCGGCAAGTACCGTATTTTTCGCTCCATAAGACGCACTTTTCCCCCCCCCAAAAAAGGGGGGAAAATGTCAGTGCGTCTTATGGAGCGAATATAAAGCGGCCGGTCCGGTATTTCTGCCGCCACCATGTCAGAACACCGGGCCGGCCGCTCAGCTGTTCTCTCCTGCAGGGCCTTACCTGTTCCTCGCTCCAGCACTGCACAGTCTTCCCGCGCTGGCTTCTGTGACAGCCGGGTGCCCACTGCGCATGTGCTGCGCTTTGTGAATGATCCGGTGTCTTCTGGGACACATGAAAGGTCCCAGAAGGCGCCGGGCCATTCACAAAGCGCAGCGCTTCTCGCACATGCGCAGTGGGCACCCGGCTGTCACAGAAGCCGGCCCGGGAAGAAGAGGGAAGGCAACTCCGGAAGTGGGAGCGGGTACCTGTCAAATTCAGGTACCCGCTCCCCCTCCCCCCCCAAAGGTCCACAGTCTCTGGTCACTCCCTGCACTGTCTGCAGTCTCTGGTCACTCCCTGCACTGTCTGCAGTCTCTGGTCACTCCCTGCACTGTCTGCAGTCTCTGGTCACTCCCTGCACTGTCTGCAGTCTCTGGTCACTCCCTGCACTGTCTGCAGTCTCTGGTCACTCCCTGCACTGTCTGCAGTCTCTGGTCACTCCCTGCACTGTCTGCAGTCTCTGGTCGCTCCCTGCACTGTCTGCAGTCTCTGGTCGCTCCCTGCACTGTCTGCAGTCTCTGGTCGCTCCCTGCACTGTCTGCAGTCTCTGGTCGCTCCCTGCACTGTCTGCAGTCTCTGGTCACCCCCTGCACTGTGTCCGCAGCCTCTGGTCACCCCCTGCACTGTGTCCGCAGCCTCTGGTCACCCCCTGCACTGTGTCCGCAGCCTCTGGTCACCCCCTGCACTGTGTCCGCAGCCTCTGGTCACCCCCTGCACTGTGTCCGCAGCCTCTGGTCACCCCCTGCACTGTGTCCGCAGCCTCTGGTCACCCCCTGCACTGTGTCCGCAGCCCATTGGTTCAGAATATTTTTTTTCTTGTTTTTCACCTCTAAAACCTAGGTGCGTCTTATGGTCAGGTGCGTCTTATGGAGCGAAAAATACGGTAGTTAATAAGACCACATAGATGAGTTCTTGCTGGAAAAAAAATATTTTAAGCAACAGACAGCATGGATTCATGAAAGGCAGAAGTTGTCAAACCTGATTTCTTTTTATGAGGGGGTAAGCAAAACCTTGGAAAGAGGGGTGGACATGGTATACTTGGATTTTGAAAAAGCGTTTGACGCAGTTCCCCACACACAGTTATTGTGTAAGGGATTTTGAAAAAAGCGTTTGACGCAGTTCCCCACACACAGCTATTGTGTAAGGTAAAGTCTATGGGCTTGGAAAAATCCATATGTAAATGGATAGAAAACTGGCTAAAAGATACTATTCAGAGTAGTGGTTAATGATTCATACTCTGAATGGTCTAGGGTCATCAGTGGTGTACCCCAAGGTTCAGTGTTGGGACCCTTACTTTTTAATATATTTATAAACTATATAGGGTCTGAGATTACAAAGTCCATTTCAGTCTTTGCAGATGACACGAAGCTGTGCAGTGGAATAACATTCTTACAGGATGTCTTCAACTTACAAGCTGACCTCAATGCACTGTGTAATTGGGCAAAGGAAGTTTAATGTTGATAAATGTAAGGTTATGCACTTGGGGGGGTTAAGAATATGCATGCATACTAGGGGTACAACTGGAGGAATCAATGGTGAAGGATCTGGTAGTTCACAAGCTTAATAGTGGCATGCAATGCCAAGCTGCGCTTTCTAAAGCGAGTAAAATCCTATCTTGTATTAAGAGGTATAGACTCCAGAGAGATCATATTACCCCTGTACAAATCATTAGTAGTAAGACCTCATCTGGAATATGCAGTTCAGTTTTGGGCACCAATTCACAAAAAAAAATTGGAACTTGAGAAAGTACAGAGAAGGGCAACTAAACTGATGAGAGGCATGGAGATCAGCTGTGAAGAAAGATTAGAGGAACTGAATTCTCTCTTGAGAAGAGATTAAGGGGGGGATATGATCAGTATGTATAAATACATCAGTGGTTCATATAGTGGACTCAGTGTAGAGCTCTTCACCCTGAGGTCATCACAGAGGACAAGCGGGCACACTTTACGTCTAGAGGAAAAGAAATTTAATCTCCAAACATGGAAAGGTTTCTTCACAGTGAACTGTGGAATAGACTCCCTCAAGAGTTGGTTCTGGCCAGCTCAGTGGCTTGCTTCAAAAAAGGCCTGGATTGTTTTAGATGCACAGAATATAACTGGATACTAACATAGGTAAAGTTGATCCAGGGAGTATCCAATTGCCTCTCCAGGGATCAGGAAGGAATATATTCTCCCAGCAGGAGGAAATTGGATCTTGCTGTGCTGGGTTTTTTTTTTTTTGCCTTCCACTGGATCAACTGTGGGTATAGGATTATAACTTTTTTGTTTGTTGTTTTTTAGCCAGACTAACTATGTAACTATGAAGAAGTTGACTTTTGTTGCTACCTTTTTGAGCCTCTAATACTCCAATTTTATGTGTAATGCTGTAGGTAAGAAAAATGGGTTTTGCTGCAAATGTTTTACTTATATTGTCTTATCTGCAGGCATATTACCCATGTTGGTTTCAGTTCGATGTCTGGTCTAGATGTAAGTTTTTTTTGTTTTTTTAAATTCGTAATTAACGATGTAGCAACTTGCTTTGGGCTAGGAATCTTTGCTAACACTTTAAAGCAGACCTTTCACCATTTACTGCACTTTGACCTTTCTCCTTTTCTGATATAACATTTCCTTTTCATATGCTAAGCTGTGTAGTTTTTTTTGCCTCTCCACCCTTTCCCTACTTGCCTAGGAGGGAGCAATGTACAAGCTCTATATGCAGCATTGCAGGGAACTTGCATTACACTTCCCAAAAGGCTGCAAGTGCCAAGTATCACGAGACTTCACATCCCATGACTACATACCTGAGACCTCCCACCTGTGCAGTCATGGTAAAACTGGAAAAAAGAATTTGCTGTAAGTAATTTGCGCTTCAGCTCCTGCATAGTGACATTTTTGATACTTCAGCACTTACAGGACCTGCAGCCTTCTGGTATGTGTGATGCAAACACTCCAGGTGGCTAAAGGTACATCACCAGGATAAATGGGTAAGTATGAGGGTCAGAAAGCTGAATTAAACTAGATGGTTTGAAAATTGCATAAAGAAGGTGAGATAACTGATGGTGAACAAAAGTCTGCTTCAAGACCCATCAACAAATTGGTGATTTTATAAGCCTGGTTATCTGGTGTATTACCATTGAACTTCTATATCATGCATTTTCATGAAGGGACATTATAAATGTAGCACTACCCCGTAAGGGCAGCTTGACAATGCCTGTCCCCAGTGGTTGCCCTGAATTTGCAAGCCTCCTGACACTCTGGGTTCAGACATATTTCAACAGTATTAAATAATAATGCAAAAGAGTTCTTTAGTAACACATCTATATTAGACTCTGTTCTAAAGAGTAGACCACAGGAATAATGGGTTTAGGATTTACAACACCGGGTAATACATAAAATGTAACACTAGTAAAGTAGAAATAATAAATTGGCGGTTTAAAAAAAAAATAAATAAAAAATTTAGTCATGAAGTACCGTATTTTTCGCTCCATAAGACGCACTTTTTTCCCCCCAAAAAAGGGGGGGAAATGTCAGTGCGTCTTATGGAGCGAATATAAAGCGGCCGGTCCGGTATTTCTGCCGCCACCATGTCAGAATACCGGGCCGGCCGCTCAGCTTTTCTCTCCTGCAGGGCCTTACCTGTTCCTCGCTCCAGCGCTGCACAGTCTTCCCGCGCTGGCTTCTGTGACAGCCGGGTGCCCACTGCACATGTGCTGCGCTTTGTGAATGATCCAGTGTCTTCTGGGACACATGACAGGTCCCAGAAGGCGCCGGGCCATTCACAAAGCGCAGCGCTTCTCGCACATGCGCAGTGGGCATCCGGCTGTCACAGAAGCCGGCCCAGGAAGAAGAGGGAAGGACAACTCCACGGAAGTGGGAGCGGGTACCTGTCAAATTCAGGTACCCGCTCCCCCTCCCCAAAGGTCCGCAGTCTCTGGTCGTCCCCCTGCACTGTGTCCGCAGTCTCTGGTCGTCCCCTGCACTGTGTCCGCAGTCTCTGGTCGTCCCCTGCACTGTGTCCGCAGTCTCTGGTCGTCCCCACTGCACTGTCTGCAGTCCATTGGTTCAGAATATTTTTTTTTCTTGTTTTTCGCCTCTAAAACCCAGGTGCGTCTTATAGTCAGGTGCGTCTTATGAAGCGAAAAATACGGTAAGTAACTATTTAAACTGCAACACCAGCAGTAAGGGGGGGGACTTTACCTTTTTAACTAGAAATTGCATCTTGACTCCTGTGATTAACATTCCAGATATGGTGATATCGGTTTTCTGCTAGTAATGGTGGGGCCCATAACAATACCTCCTAGGAACAGGAGTTCTTGCACAGGCTCTCTACTGAAGGGATGTGCAGAGTTACTGTCTGACAGACCAGTCAGCGTGTTTGAACAGCAATTGTCTGTCTGAGGACCAAACAGTGGTAGTCCAGATGCAGATAAGACTGATGCAATCTGGTGTGGCGATCAGAATCGCCACTGTGCAGAGCCCTGTAGCAGTAAGCCTGCAATCTGTCTCTGTAGGAGAATGGCAGTCCCCATGTTCAGCTTTGAATCCCATGCCAAGACAGCCAGTCCCTTGCTGTAGAATAGATCTGCTCTCCCAGCAACCCTTTCACCAGCTCTGATCATTGTAGTTCAGTCGGCACTCAGGAATACAGTATGTATTGGCTATAGGACTACAGGCCACAAGATCTCTGCTGTCTGAAGAACTGGATCTACTCTTCAGGAAGTGATGTAGCAGTCCCAGTACTGGGCACTGGGGGGGGGAGTAATTAAGTAAACTGTAAATGTCCCTGAAAGGCATATTGATATAGCAGACACCTGGCTACATAAAGATGCAGGATTTTTAATGCACCATACAGACAGGTGTGAATGGGGCCTAAGCAGGGGCGGACTGACCATTTGGAAACTCAGGCAGGGCCCGGGGTCAGTAGGGGGCCCCATGAGATGCCCCTGGTACACTTTTTTTTTTTTTTTTTTTTTTTTTCTTTTTTTTCATAGTTTTTTTTTTTTTTTTTTTTTTGAGTTTGGGCAAGGACACAGGGGCCCCATGATCCCCTATTTCCCAGGGGCCCCATGAGTTGTCAGTCCGCCCCTGGGCCTAAGTGTTTGAAAGTGAGAACCTCTACTTCTGGAAATTTCAGTGGATGAATTACAATTCTAACTTTATGGATTAATACTCTGATCCACTGACCAGGGACAAGTTGTCAGAGGGCGACTGATCTGCATGCTTGTTTAGCTCCATTCAAATTGAAGCAAATGTGGTGGTGTATTGAGTTGAATAACCATTTTCAGGTGGTCTGCTGTGTTGGGACATCTTTCTCAAGTACACCTTGCCTTTCATAAACTTGAGAAAAAGGAACAACAAAAGTTGCTGTTAATAAAAAAAAACTCCTGAGCTTGCTATTTAAGTACCGGTACTCTAACTTCCTAAGTGGTTTTGACATTACCAGTCCTAGTTTGACTGATGGTAGATTTCTCTCAATGCTGAGAAGAGAATGGTTTTTCTCTAGATGTGCACATTCCTGATTCCCAATTTCTTGTATAAGGGTAATGTAAAGGTAAATATGTATAGGGGTAAAGCACACTTTGCGATATGATTTCCAGATGAACTGCATTCCAGGCTGATCCAGAAGGTCACATCTTAATTCACTTATGTTCAAGTTAAATGTAACATGAAAAGTAGAGGGTATAAAAGGGACCTAATACATTGCATAACCATAGGGGTAATGAGAAAAGATGCATTTGCTCCATGGGTATTTGAGAGTTTTCAAAAGATTATTAAAGCTAGAGTGACTCTTTAGCAGGGAGTAAATGTTCTTGACTGTAACAAATGAACCCACAGGATCATATGCAACTGTTCAGAAAGCTTGAATGTGTTTGGGAAATATTGCGAAATGGGATGTTCTCCCAGGGGAAAGGTTTAATAATTTCCACTTCTGAATCTTTTTAACTATACTTCTATCACTTCCTTGACATGAGGACTTGTATTGGAAAAGGAATGGCCAATATTCAAGCTATTTTGACAAATTGTAATACTGGTGATTCCCAAAAGAGTATAATGACTTCCAGTGTGGAAGTGTATTTGGTTTGTAGATATTGTAACTTTCTAGTTATTGTAACTGTAATGATTATCCTAGTAATCTTTGTCTATTCAATATGACTCGAATGCTTGTATGTTATCGTGTGGTGTTTTTTGCTCTCGACAGGTTTCCTTTAGTGCTGATTTGCACTGATGCAACTTGAGTTGCACAGAATGGCATGACAAAGAAAATTACATTTTCAGTGTTATCCATGTGTTTTGGTTTTGTTTTGTGTTTGTTTGTTTGTTTTTTTTTGTTTTTTTACATCAATGCAACTCTGGTTTTTGAAAATCACACTGAACAATGTTTCTGTGCTACTTTGGCAAATTCTATGGCACCAACAAATTTCACTGAAGTTCCCTCCAAGTTGCACTGAAAACTGCATCGCAGTAATGTGAACCCAGCCCTAATGGAGTGCATGTTCCAGGCAAGTTGGCTTCAGGGTACAACATCCAAATTTTTCAACTCCAGTAGAAAGTCTTTGTATAAAGACTGCTTTTAAGTGAGTCGAAGTCCATTGACTATCAACTAGGCTGCTAGATCTCAAAGGAAGCTTTAATATGGAAAACCTAATACACAGCAGTAAAAATTTATGTTGTAGTTAATTGAGCATCAGATGTGGGTGTTTTCCCCCCCCCCCCCCCCCCCCCCCATGTGCTCTGTTCATTAATTTCAACTTTTTACAGCTGGACTCTGATGTAGACATGAAGGCACTGATCAGTCTGGCAGGTGTCAAAGAGGAGCATCTTGAGAGTTCTCATAGAATCTTCAATATATTGAAAAAGGAAGGAACCATGGAGCATGTCCAGAAAATGCCAGGAAGTACAGGTATGTCTGTCTATAGAGGCTTGTTTGTTTTTTTTTTTTTTTTAATACCAGAAAATGGTGGAATGTGCTCACACAATTCAACCTTATTGCAATGTCTTTACATGAGCATTTTGGATTGCACATTTTTTTTTTTTTTTTTTTTTTTAGGTTTAGCCACAGCTTCACCCAGGCACATTGGCTTGGTGTCTGCTTATATACCCAGGCAAGGCAGTCATCAGACAAGTTGTTTTGTAACCTGTTTTTGATTACTGCCTCAAGTAAAATGAGGCCTGAATGATTCCAAAAACAAGGTTTTCATTGCAACTAGGGCAAACGGAACTAGTCTGACTGTAGATCAGCAGAAATATGGGAATGAGTGGGTCATGTGAAATTTGAAGTTGGTCTTTACAAGCTCTGTAGTTGCTGTGCAGTATCCTTTACTATGTTGGCCCTGCCATGAATTTATTGCAGGTACTTGTATAGTGCTGGCAATTTTAAGCAGCGCTTTTACATATATATTGTACAATCCCATCAGTTCCTAACCCTCAAGGTGTGTACAGTCTAAGAATGCGGTTACTTAATTTCTGAAACGCGTGTCCATCCATTTTCAGCTCGCAATTTGTGGTCAGGCAATTCTTATGCCATATTCATATATATATATATATATATATATATATATTGTCTTTAACATCAGACAGGAAAGAGAAAATATAGCCAGCAAATAAGGGTGGTTTTTTTTGGCAGGAGCAAGGCAAGGTTAAAACCCAAAATCATGGCAGGAGAGTGCTTTAAAATGGCTTTATATTGTGTGCAGATTGAAGGTCATTGATAAAATCTGACTCCTACATTTATGTATTGTTTTCCAGCATCTGTGGAAAGGCCCAATACACGCACCAGACTCCGTTCTTTGTCATCCTCTACCATTACACCATCAAAAAAGAGGAAAAGTCCTAATAAACAGTTTCCACATGCAGGAAAAGTTGCAGCACCGCTACCGGACCACACTCCTTTCAACTACATTCAATCACTGAGCAAGGTCCCTTCATCTTCTCCTGCTCCATCTTCTAGCCACTTCTCAAGTAGACTCCCTCAATCTACACCTCCTTATTTAAAAGAGTTATCCAAGACTTTTTCCTCTCTTCCATCTGCTCATCTTCAATCTAAGGATGTACCTGTGCTACCTCCTCATTCCCAATTTCTTTATGGGAGAAATTCCAAAAACGTTACACCCAATCCTATCTCATCAAGTAACAAAAAAAATCCTGCAATAGCTAGTTATTCCTTGCCGCCTTCTAATGCAAATAACACTGCATCCGATGTTGGATCTTCGCTACAGTCTCGACATTCTCTTCCTCAGTCTGAGACCTATTTTACTGCCTCCCTTTCTTCTATACCCACCAATGAGTCCTCTGTTATAAAATATGCAGAGGTACCACCTCTTCTTCCTTGTCCCCCTTTGTTTGTTAAAGGTGACAATTCAGAAACTGTTATCACTCCTTCCTTGTGCTCAGAATTTCTGAGCACAGAATGTGCACATGGCACTGTACAATCTGCTCCTTCTCTTCCATTTAAGTTGCAACTTTGTGGTAATAAAACTCTGCATTCCTCCAACGAACAATTGTTTAAGAAATTGGAGCCACCACTGAATGCTCAGGTTGAGAATCTTGATGACTCTGCTTTAGAAGAACTGGTGGTTTCCAGTAAACAGCTTGATGAACAAACCTTGTTCTTGGACCAAATCAGGCAAGGAGTGCAGCTGAAATCGGTAAGGTATTTCCAATCCTGTGTGTGTGTGTGTGTGTGTGTGTGTGTGTGTGTGTGTGTGTGTGTGTGTGTGTGTGTGTGTGTAAAAATTCTCAAAGTATTGGCACCGCTCTAAATCATTGGATTCAGTATTCCAATCACCTCCATGGCCACAGGTGCATAAAATCAAGCACCTAGGCATGGACTGCTTTCTATAAACATTTGTGAAAGAATGGGTAGCTCTCATGAGCTTGGTGAATTCAAGCGTGGTACCGTGATAGTTTGTCACCTGTGCAATAAGTCCATATGTGAAATTTCCTTGCTAAATATTCCAGTCAACGGTTAGTGGTATTAAAGTGGAAGAAACTCAGCCGCGAAGTGGTAGGCCACGTAAAATGACAGAGCGGGGTCAGCGCATGCTGGAGCGCACA